GGGGGCGGAGCCTGCAGAGACTGTCAAAATGGACCTAGGGCGACCAAAATTGGTAGGAATAGAGGAGGCTGGATAGGTACACTGATAATAGGTTGCAGGACTAAACTTCGTCCCAAAGGGCTGGGCGTGAATAAATAGTGTTAGTTCGGACCCAAACCGTTGAAACTTGAAGGCACAAGGAGTTGGCTGGGAACATTGATGGTTGCTAACATAATAGACTCAGTCGCAATGAAGTCTCTGGATATTTTTTTCTCTAAATGATCGCCTTTGTGATATTATACGATGTTCTATTCGGGCAAAGCGGAGATGGCTTACCGAAAAATTTGCTCCCAATTCGGAGCTAATACTGAGGGTGTAGAGTTTTCAAAGAAAAAGTAGAGTCCGAAGTGTTATTCACGCATAGCAAACTTCTCACAGGAAGGAGGAACGCCCGGCGTAGCCGGGCGAACCCATAAGAAGGAGGGAAGCCCGGCGTTAGCCGGGCGGCCCGACTGGTAAGTAAAATAAGGCGCTTGCTTGAAAAAATAGCGGAAATAGCTATGAATGCTTTCTTCGCAAAAAAGCACGCTGTGCAAAACCCCCTGTCGACCGCGGAGAGCAAATCCGCATGACTCAAAGGGGTAGAGGACACCCTACCTCTGCTTCATGGCTGCGTTTGCTGTCTCTGCAGACAACTGCTCTGTTTGACTGGTACTGTTTAAACGGTTTGAGCAGTCAAATTTCGAACGCTGATAACTTTTTTCGGGGAACTCAGCAGATTCAACTTCTGTATTCGTAAACAAACTCTATAAACTTCTTCGATATATATACGAGGTCCCTATTCGAAGTTCCATAGAGAGTTACCTTTTTTGCCACAGTCTTACGCGAGGTAGCTGTTTGACGGTCCTGACGTCTTTCTACCTAATCGAAGCCACTCTTTTCTATTCCAGCCCATATACCCATGTTCCTGACCACATTATGGGTAGCAGAGTCATCTTCGAGATTTTTGCCTTCGGGCTCGTTGTCTCATAGTGTCGTCGTCGTCGTCTTACGACTGTTCTGTTCACATTTTCCTTGGGTGACTTGCAGCTCCGCCGACAGCAGAAACTATCAATACCACTTTTCCATTAAACCCATACCTCATTTAATCAGTCCCGAACCACGCTTCCGTCATTGGTTAGATTGCTTCCAAGGTATCGCAGATCCTGCAAATTTCTGATGGTGTGTCAACATTCGATTGTCTTTAGCTATATTCGAGGCGCTTATCCTGAAGTTATTGTTTACCAGTTCGGCTATGCACGCTAACGCGCGCAGTATATGTCGATGGCCACTTATCCACGATGGAGTCATTCAGCGGAATGTTGGATAATCAGAATAAGATAGTTCTCTCTAGATTCGAACGCTGAACTGCTGATAGCATCACGCTCGATATATTTGAGCACAGTTATTAGTGGTTCTAGAACGTTTCTGAACAGAGTTATGAAATTTTGATCTAAGCCCCGCCCACTTTGGTGCTAACTCCGCCCACTTTGGGGATCTGACCACATTNATGATACCCAGTGTCTGTACGAAGATGACATGGCTAACAGCTAATCCTAGGCAGAGCCCGATCGTGAATTCTATTGCTTTTGTCAAGCCATGAGGAGTGAGTGTACTTGAGGGAAGTCAAATGTCCCAAAATGATTTCTTCCTGGAGCGCTTTCGAGAACAATAATCGCGGCGAGCGGTCGTACGCTTTCTCCAGATCGAGGAAGACTATTTGTAAGTAGCAGTGACTAAGCTTCTCACGATACTTCTGTACTACTTGTCTAGCTGCGGAAGTGGTTTTTGGCCATTTCTGGCTTGAAGCAATAGTATTCGTGACTAGTTTCCACAATCTTAAGACGAATAGTCGTTGGTTTAATCTCACGGTTAGCACAGACATACCGAATCATGGTCTTTCTCCTGCTTTACAGTGGGAACGACAGTACTCCTTCTTAACGTATATGGGATTCCTCCTTCAGCTGTTATACTGTTCAAGAACTGATGAGCTCGTCGAGCGCCCTCCACGCTTCAAGGCAAGCCTAATCCAGACGAAATTTCACTTTCCCTATTGTTCGACATTTTCTGTGCAGAATACAATGGGGACCGCCGTCGAGGAAGTTCATAACTGTTTAGGAGCTGTACTCGAGGTGAAATTCTTTGTTTGGAAACCCACTGAAATTTTTCATCTCTATTCCCTTGACCTTAGACAGCTTCTTAAAAATAGGAACGTTGTTGGCCTTCAGGTACTTCCTGATCCGGTGCTCAATATCCCGATGCCAGGATTTAAGTTGAAATTTCTCTCATTTCAGCTGAGATGAAATTTCTCTATTTCGCTTCTTGTTCGAAGTACCCAGTACTGAAGTCTTTGCCTTCGCTTCGGCTGCACTGGCAATACTCTAGTAACATCTGTCGACAAATAGACCTTTTACAGCATTCGTTTTTCGCGAGCGTTTATACGCCTCTTTCCTTTGCTTTACGACCCGTTGAATTTTATCATTGCAGAACCTTACTGTTTTGTTTTCATTCGAAATCGCCTCTCGTTCACCCACCCAGCGTTTCTTTTGTGCTCTGTAGGATGATCATTTCTTCAATATTCTAAGTTTGATTGTTGGCTCGTTGAAAATCTAAAAAAGCACTTTTCACTACACTTCTTTCAAGATAGATTCCCCTCGATATAGCTTTAAGGACCAGATTCCTCTCTCCATTCTTATACTCGCAGAGATCGAAAGAAGAGAGAACAATGACGTTAGTTGTATTAACAAGTTACTAGAATAGCAAATGGTGATTCGTTTCGCCACGTTTACTCAGACGAATCACCAGGTGGAGTTGACTCCCGTGGCTCGTCAGTGAGTAAGAGTCAACTCCACCATGGAATAACTAATCACATAATCACAAAGACATTAAAAAGATGAGAGGTGAGAATGGACTAATCACATAATCCAATTACCAAAAATTAAGCAATAAAAACACAAGAAATGTTAGTTATGTACTAAACTCAAACTATCTCATATGTAGGCCTAAAATAATCGAAGCCTATTGCTTGTTCTGCGGCACTGCCTCTCTGCAGTGCAGTACCCAGATGTCCTCAACACTTCAAAGGATGATCTTTTTACGAACCCATAGTCGTTTCCCATTTTGCAGAGGAAGTGCAGCAAATTGGTAATTTCGTAGAAGCAGCATGCTCTAGGACCCGCCTTCCCTCCTCTTTGTTGAAAACTACTTTTTTACTTCCTGGAAGTGCTCTAGGCCCCTCCGCTCATTCGTAACATGCCATTCAGACCACACACCGTTGTGACATAGTCCCTTTCAGGCGCTAACTCGATGGAATCTTTGACTTCTTGGCACCAGAGCGCCCACCTGCGGAAAGTGCACGGATTTTATTGCTCAGTATCCCTCTTCCTTGTCTATACTTAAAGTCGTGAAGCAATGGCTGATCCGCTAACAGTGGAAACAGAGCTTCTGAGATAGTCTGTTTATTGTTACGTCATTTCGCTAGATACGTTGATCCTTGAAAGGCCGCTTTCAGACCTAAACGTCCGTCCGTCCGTCCGTCCGTCCGTCCGACGCTTGCGACGGCGGTCGCTAGAGTAGTGTTGACAGCGCTGAAAGTGATCCAGAGTTGTCAACAAAGGTCAGGCGCCGTCGTTGCAGCACGCACGCGTCGGACGAACGGAGGAACGGACGTCGAGGCCTGAAAGCGGCCGAACCTTCTCCAGTTTCACTGAACGTTGCCCTTTACCATGCGTTCTTCGAAGGCATAGCGCTTGAAAACTCTTTTGTTTCAGTAAGTCAGCGACCTCTCGGAACACGCCAATAAGTGATCCAGCGTTAAGAATCCTAATCCGGACAGGCGTTTAGTTGAGGTCTTTCAACCCTTGGCAGCCCTCGTAGTAACTGCAGCACTCCACCGAGGATTTTACACGCTTCTTCCGGAAAACGTCCAAGCTTTATCACTGATGGCTTTTGCAATCTTGGCCGAAGTTTTTGTGACAAGGGGTCTTCATCAAACTGCTTGTCTCTTGGCGACCGGGGCCTCACCCTGGTACCGACACGGATTCTGCTGCTCTAGCATGAACTTGCCGGGAGACGGGCAGTAGGTACGATAATGGGTAATCAATTCGTTGCACGCGGCTGTCGCGAACCATTCATTCGCCGTTATTAGAGCTCTAGCGTTCTTCCTACAGCTCAATCGATATGCGATCATTATTTTAGGCATAATTTTACTACTAGTTTTTTGCTCTCGTATTTCTTACCTGCTGCTGCAATCTGCTACATTCCTTCGCGCGCGGCGTCCCTCTCGCCGCGACGGGACAATTTCGTTCCTACTGCACCATACCACTTGCCTTCTGACTGGAGTGGCGGTCTTTCTTGAGTGCAGTTATGAATTTGCACCCCCAACCATTCGACTATCCTTGCCCAACCTCTTCCAAAAAGAGTTTATTGTCGAAATCAGCTGTGATGTAATTAAGAATTTAGGTGAATCAGAGAATAAGTGAAATAGTTGGTTTTAAGAGCCATTTTCAATTTAATAGTGACTTTTACAGAGCCTCTTGTCATACTCCAGGTTGGGGGCGTAAGTGATTACTTCACTGGAGAAAAAGACACCTCTGCCGTAGTGGCTAATATCGAAGCCAGCATGGATAACATCACAAAGGTGGGAAATAGATTCTGTTGTTTTTTATTCATTTTGGTATTACTATTAAGTTGATGCATAATTATTGCGGATATTTTTGCGGCTTCTTTTCTCTCCATAAAATTGAACTTTTGAATTCGGGATTTTTGTAGAATTAATCTTCTCGCTTTCCTTAACAGAAATATGTCTAGAAAGTCATCACTATATACGCCACATTATGCTCTATTACTTCGAAACGATGGAAGGCGACACACTCATAACGTGATCCCAACGAACTTTTCGGCGATGGAACAGTGAGAACTTCGTTGAGATTACGTTATGAGTGTGCCGCCTTCCAACATTCAGCCGAAGCCGAGTAAAAAATGGAATTCGCTTCTACGGCCGCCCTATTCACCAACAAAAACTCGGATTATCACGTTGATCGCCCGTTGAAAAATTGGTTAACGAGCAGAACTTTCCACGAAGTGAATAGCTTGTTGGCCAACGTCAAGGCGTGATCGCCCCCAAGAGTCGGAACCACTTCGCCTGTGGAATCTGACCGCCTAGCAAGTGGGAAGAAGTGCTTGACTTAGATGGTGGATATGTTCCGGAGCAATTATTCGAACATGCCTTTGCTAGATATTTCTATCGTTTCGTCAAGTAGAATTTGCTGAAAAAAATCCGCAATAATTGTGCATCAACCTAATTATTCACTTGATGTTTTCTTATTATTGTTTTATTATATTATTATTATTAATCATTATTCTTCTCATGATCATAGGCAGAGTCTCATGTTATTCTTTTTTTCATTTCGTTATTAGCGTTGTAATCAGCGAAAAACCACTCCAATCTTAACCGGACATCTGGAAGCCAAAGAGCGTTTCACAAACCATATCACTGATTTCAATCACAATCTATTAAAACTAAAGGCCTAGTTCACGATAAAAAGTACACGCCCAAAAGTGGACATGTTCTAATGGCCTTGTAGAAGCTGCAACATTCACGATGGAGCGCACATGTTTGAAATCCAATTAGTTGATCAGAGAGCAGTTGATGTCAAATAACAAGAAAACAACAATAAAAACAAATGAATAATAGTATGGAAACATTATTAGAGAATAATGATAATGAATAATGTGAAGGTTGCAGCGGCACAAAATTTCAATTGCAAGCAGTCTCGTTCCGCGATGACAGTTGGAGTAAAATACTCCAACTGTCATCGCGGAACGAGACTTACTTGCTCTGGCTAGCTCTCGACGCTTGATTGATTCCGCTCAAGTACTTCTTGCGTTCCGCTACGTCGATCATAAATTTTGTTGAGCTTCTTATTTTTACTACTTTTTCAAAGCCTTACTTTTTTTGAAGCCCGCCGTTTCGCGTTTCGTTTGCTACATTTACTCTATTTGCAGTATCAGTTCCATTTGTCAGTCCCCATGTGAAGCTTGGCAAGCTACTCGTGGGTACCCATACGCCGAAAACAATAATCTTCAAAATTGTAATGAAGTATGCTTTTTAACAAAAAATCTCACTCATATAAAAAATCAGGAGGCATCACGGAACACCCCGGAACAGGGGACATCTCGAATTGAACAATTCCTAAACTCGTATCTTTCTCATCGCTTCCTACACCCTTAGTGCTTTGCCCATAGGGAAGTTTTATTTCTCACCTCGGGACAACTCTAACAAATGAAGAATTTACAAGTACTCAAAATCTTTGCCAGGTGATGAGATCAGGCACGTTGCTTGTACTGACTCTACTCGATCTCAGCAGTTCGCCAGGAGTTCGTGGCGCTGAAGAGAGTGGCGATCTAGAGCAAAGAATCGGGGATTTGGTAGCGGAGACAAACAGAGTAAGTCCACCAACGTATTCCTTTCGAATTGCAAAGCAATCAGATCTTATGGAGCAAAATCAAGTCAAATAAAGCGAAGTATTTTGTGCATTTTGATACCCAAATGCTGCCGATATTCCAGCAAAATAAAAGTATCAACATTAGTTTCTACCCTGTGCATCAAATCTTTTTTTGTAACTTGTTCGCAAGGTATACATGAAGGCTTAAAACAATTCTCACTTTAAAGCATCTCGGACGAATTGTGTTCGACTCGGAGCGAGGTGTTCGGCGAATGAATCCGGAGCTCCGCATCCGTCTGCTAGATATCAATACGGTCGTGATGGAAGCGATGAATTCTCTAAACATCACGGAACCATTCACTTATCAGACATTAAATGTCCAGTAAGTTTCACATTTTGCATTTTTTCTATTGGTAACATTGTCTTACTGAATGTGAATTTATACCCTGATTGATATATGCTATGCGAAGGAACAACTTTGACCATTTTGGGTGATGGATATTGAAATTTGACTCCTAACTGATCGATCTAGTGTCGTACAGACGGTGAGACACTGTTGTAAGATCGAATCCTGGATCTTCCCTCAGATGATGGACACCTTATACATCAAAAAAGTCGAGAGACCATCCTCCTGAGTTTCAAATTTGCAATCATTGCACGTATCAAAATTGGATTTTGATGCATTAACGATTCGGAGTAGGAGCACTCGCGTAGGGATTCCCTGTAATGCTTCATATTCATGGATCCTGTTCTATTCTGGTGGACAAATGTAATAAATACTATACAAGAATAAGCGTTTGTTATTTCAGACCTCGATCGATATATGGTTATGCCTATCACGATCTCTGGAACCCGTCAACAATGGTCCATTATGCTTTGGCCGAGGAGATTGTCAAACAACTACAAGACCTCTGACAAAATTCCCTAACATGTAATCAATCATTTCCATCAAAAGCAGTGGACACGCGGAATAATCTCCCCATTAGTTAACCCTTTCCCTTTTTTAGATAAAGCTCCGATGAATGCTGCTTGGCGAAGTTGAGAGCCCTTTCCGCCAGACCATCTCGTTCACTGCTTCCAGTGTAGAAGATGCCATCGATTTCCAATAGGAATGTTTCTGTCAATATTGCTTTCTCTCAGTTAATACTTTCTCTTCGATGATCGTCACATGTTCTTTCGCAATCTCTCACACTGAGAGTACTTATAAATGTATTGTGTATACTACCGCTTTTTAAAAATACTCATTAAAGGAGTCATTGTAGAAGGACTAACAGAATCATCCTAGCACAAAGAACTCACTCAGCAGATTTCTCGTAGCTAGCTACGAAGGACATTATTTATAGGTGGGGTATACTCAGAGGGCATTCGGAAACTGCGGTCTTCGAAACAAACCTCTTTGTTTGCTGACCCACATAATAGTACCAAACCTCTCTATAACTATGCCAGATGCAAATATGTTGTTAACGTAGAAAAAAAAGGTGGAAATAAGTACGTGGCGCATACTACGATCAATTGTCGTAATTCATGGTGCAATGAACTTTAAATCCCTGAGAGGGAAAGTCGCGCTGTTTGGTTTAACTATGTGTGTACATACACATAAAGTAAAAGCGTATTCAGATAAATATACACCCTTAAGCTTCACTGAACGGATTCCACACAACATTTTTGGAAATAGACTCCGAGAGCGAATTGTCTTATGAAGAGTTCATCTCACTTAAGAGGACTGCAATTATGAACAGAGAACATTGAGAAAATAATTGTCTAGTCAGAAAAGCAATCATATTCTGCTACATCAAAGGGCACTATATTGCTTTGTAGATATTTTTCATGATTGATCGTGAGTGGAGCTCAGCTGACTCGAGATAGGAAACCGAATGATACTTAAGTTCATCCGATGAACTTACAATAACCATGAGCTACAATAGCTTTTTTCTCAGAAAGAAAGTCGTTTGGCCAGGTATCTGTAGATTGGCTGCAAAGGACAAAACAGGTGCGCAAAAAATCTTATCAGATTGAGGTAAAAGCAGATAGGTAAAGCACTCATTTGGCGGTCAAAGTGACTAGAGAACTGCCATATGATTTCTGAAAAAGAAATTCGTAGGGAAATGTGGAGATCTGCTCTGATTATGCTTCTTTGAAGAAAAGAGTAGTGCCGTCAAGCTGACAGGTTCTCAACTATCCAGGAAACGACCAACGACCTATTCATTGATAACAAGCTCGCCATTTATCACAGCTCAACTGTCAGTGGATTCTTTCTATTCCATGCCTATGCACCCAGCACATCACATGCAGCAAAGAAGAAATCTTAAGGATTACTGCTGCTAGCGAAGTGCTCTCCAAGAACATCGCTTCGAAAACACAATTATTCAAAAACTCGAACGCGAGTTTCGGAATTGGGCTCAGAAATCAATGTTTCTCATATTAAAAAGGATTCGCCAACTCTCGCCATTGAAGTAGGTTTCAAATAGAGAATGGCGTTATAGTCTGGTATTACTTAATCGTATCTCTGATGACGGACGACATTCGACTTGTCTTCCCGACGTCTAACCATTGACCTTAATCCCCTACGTTTTCTACAGCACATCTTCTGAAAATGCTCTGATTGGTTAACTAAGGAGCTCCCGTCACTTCTCCCATTCTTACCTTCTTCACTTTTTTGGAGATAGAGGAACATCGATAATACATAGCATGGTCCGCCGATCCTTCTATGTATGATTTTTGTTTTAAGACATATATTAGAAATTCTATTATTTAGTACTGATCATATCACTCAAAAAGATGCGAGACTAGTTTATTTGGCTATCAGTGCAAGCGTTGATGTTAGAAAAAGCGTTGAAGGCGAAGACAAGGTTGTCCCAAGTTGTTGAGTACTTTAAAAATCTTTCGATATTCTAGGAATGCTAAATTCGAAGAGTATCACATTCGAAGAATAAGAAATATATGACCTCTCTGTGAGGATGTTTCCGTGAAATTAAGACAATTGACCCCTTTCATTCATTATCATACCTCTCCGTCTCTTCCAAGTTTATAAGTTCTAGCCAGTATTCTTAGCCCACTGTCCATCCCTTACATTGCTAATTACGTCGTTGGCGCGATCCCTCCCATCGCGCCACCGTTCGACACCGTTTGTGAGCTGGACAACTCGTCCGAGTGATTCAACCCCCTAGCCATCGATCGGACGTTTATCAGCTGGATGGGCAAAGGGTTACCCGATCACTTAGACGAGTTGTTTAGCTCAGAAACCACGAATGGGTTGCGTTATGCGAGGGACCGCGTGAAACGACCGCTTTACCTAATTATCATAGCCGAAGTATTTCCTCCTTTTCTTTGATATACAGATGCAGAACAGTTGAGGCATCAAGCGTACATGGATGACTCCTTGCTCAGTATTGCTTCACTAACTCAACTTTGGCGTCGCAGAAACTTAGGTTTTAGTGCTTTAACGGCACCTCTACGAACTTTGAAATAAGACAAATGTATGGCGCATACTGGAAAGATAGAGTTACTTTGGTCCACAAATCTTTCACGAATCCGATTCTTCAAATGTCTGACGACTATTGGCCTCACACAAAGCTCCCCGCCCCCACTCATTCGCCTTCCTCTGCTTAACAACATCATGCCTCTCCCGACCATGCCCACTAATGACTCGTTGGCCGAGAAGTTTCCACCTGGTTTCACACAAACTATTATGTGGCTCGATCGCTGAGAAGCTTCCGTTATTATCTTACGAGAATTTTTTTTTGGCAATAATACTCTTTATTTGGCGGATGTGATGCGCATTCTCCAGAGGTTTCCTTTTAAAGAGCACTAACATTCGAAAATTCCGAGATTTTTCTCATGCTTTTCAACCAAATAACATAGGGATTATTAGTGAATAGCGCTAGGATGTAATGTATCATATTTTATGTCAAGCGCTAATGAAGAAGAAGCTTCTGAAAGCTAACCACGTGTGGTTAATGCAATGGAAAGCGTATTTACTTGCTCCTCGGAGTGCCTGGTGGAGGTGGGGAGCATGTATAACAGTGTTATTCCAACAAGAAACAAACACGGTGCTAAGACAAGGAGAAGGATGGGCACCGGTCATCTGTGCGCTTTCATGCGGTTTTTAACGGGAATTGTAATTTTTTGACTAGGAGGATAGTACCACCGGAGTAGGTGAGATAATTACCTTGTGCGAAAAGCTAAACATTCACTTACCCAGGTGCTCCTTCCCTTCTAAGGCTGAGTTAAAAGATTACATGCCTCTGGTGTCATGTGTGACCCCACCCACCACCCACTCTCCCCCATCCTTCCCCAACTACATCAATTCGACTTTGATGTTCTGATACTTCTGTTTGAGGGTTAGCCGTTACTCAGAGATCAAAAGAGGGATTCCATCCCACTTGTTATTCTTCCAATATAGGGTTATTCACCCAGAAGGTACCGACTAATGTCGAAACCATAATAATAAGCAATGTCCAAGGACTAAAATTGCGAGCCAATTCTCAGTTTTCTAACCAAGGACTCCATTCTTTTTGAGCTAGCTGAATGATCCCTCAGGTTGGGTAAGGTAGATGAAAACATTGGAGATGAAGCTGCATTGCACTTCATTTGAACGCCGCACGTTTTTGACTGGAAACGGGTGCATTTAACTACCTCGATGACTTCGAATAGAGGTGAAAAGGGCGGCGCACTCGGCTATATCCCAACGCTCCATTCTTATACACTATCTTACGAAACGCATAAATTTGCAGAAATGTTCCTTTTCAGCTTTTGAGTCGCAAAATAGATTACACATATGCCAACACTTTCGAAGACGTAAATGCGTCAACATGAGAGAACCTATTTCCCTTGTGCCCCTTATATGTAGAAGTAAACTTGTAGTAGTAGAGAAAGAGATCAACCCAATGAAACTTACAAATGAGATACGGAGCTTGGGATTTTTGTGCTACATTCGTTTTTGATTCAAATCACCTATGAATGAATATGAAAATGGGATACTATTTTACGTGAATCTGTCGGGCTTCACAGAATATGCGTGAAATTGGGTTACACCTTCGAATGGTCCCCTTCTTCTCTCTATCCTTCATTTGCTTGCATTTTTCGAGGCTTTTGCAGAGTACTATGCTTAGTAGCTTGTTTTGACCGTCACAGAAGCTTGAATGAATGAGCATCTTCCTCGTTTCAACCCACAGAGGTATGCAGCTGTTTTGGACTTTCGACGAAGATGCAAAGTTGAAAAACATGTAATAGTCTCCGACTTTCCTCTTGTCTCAATCCTCGCATAATTATTTTCGATTATTATACATTTGTGGCTTGCGCTTTTTAGGGTGAACTATTCATTAAAGGTTCATGATTGGGAAATCCAGATTATGACGAAAATAGAAGATAAGATGGAAAATAAAGCAATAAAGACGACGAAACTGCGTGAATCGGTGTTCCCAAAGTGGAAAGAGGCTCCGAAAGCAAAGAAACTGCGTGAATCGGTGTTTCCAAAGTGAAAAAAGGCTCCGATAAATTGTTAAAAAGGGGGCTAGACGAGAATGAGACCGGAAAAATGGAGAGGAATGGGGCAATTGGACAATCTATACAATGTGTGTCATTGTGTACGAGTGGGTCCTGGTGCGAATAGCTGAATGCGATAAGCAAAAATTTATTCACCCACCAGTAATGAGAGCAAACATAGTCCACCTTTTTTAGCCCCCTGTCGTAATAAATCAAATAGGGGATCGCAGCAGCAAAAAGAAAAAATATAATAAAGGAATAGCAGGAAAGCATCGTCTCACCACTCAGTGTTCAGCTGATTGTGTGTGGGTCTTAGAACGAATATTGCAATCTGTATCGCCACGACACTCGTCTGACGTGACATCGATCGAGGGGAGGGAGGTCCAGGCGATCCGGTACGGGGCTCCCACTAGCTGTTGAGTTTTAGGGCT